ACATAATGCCCTGGGTGGAAGTCTTTCCGGCCCTTGTGGACCAAGAGTAATCAATTTGGTCCACGACTCCTTTATGCCATATTCTTTTATCACCAATATATCAAGAAAACGGTCTTCACCTTTGTTATCCATTAAGAACAGAGAAATGGATTTTCCATCTCCTGAAACAGATAATTGTAATTCCAGTTTGAAATCCCATATTAAACTCCTTGGCACTGGCATCTCACAAAATAACTTACTGCTCACGTCAAATGTCAATATAAAATATTCATTGCCATAATCTGTCCGGCGGAGTACAGGCCAGTGAAGAGTCCCATTAACAAAAGCCTGGGATTCGCGTCCGCGTAGTATACATGAAGGATAAACAAAATCCAGACTGGTCAATGCACCAGTGGCTATTGAATAAACCTCAGCTACAGTTGTTCTATCATCAGACATATCCAATAGGGTAACAAGTCTCACAACCTTATAGTCATTGGTATTAGCATCAAAACCAAACCCAATAGGAGCATCGTATCCACCATGTGTCATATAGGTAACACCAGGATAGGGAAGGGTCACTAACTTTCTAATGGCTGGGTTCCATATAAAGATATCGTAACCATAACGGAAGATATCATCCGCAAGGCAGATTAGCCCTTTACAAGTGCCGACCACACGAAGATGTGGATTGTACAGTTCTTGCTTTGGAGCAATTGGAAATTCTATCTTGGGGTACTCGTCAAAAGCCTTGTTATCATAATGCAGAGAATAAACCTCCTCCAGTACATCGTCAAGGCTTTGTGGAACATAGTGACGCTCCTCCTACCAGCAACCCTGTGGATTAGGAAGAGGTGACTGGCGTTCAGGTTATTAACATGGACTGTTGGGTTGGGGGGGGTGCGAAAAAAGCTTTTTTTTTTTTTTTTTTTGGTCTGAAATTCATGTTGTATTCCAAAGGATCCCAAAACAGGGAATAGAAATACAGATAGAAGGCAAAAGCCACAAAGAGCCAGCATAACACATGAAACAAACTACCAAAAGCAAGGTTAGACATAGCTAGATTCCACCGGAACCTAGAACAAACAGTCCCTACCCAGCAAACTAACTACTAATAGGAATTAAAACTAAATTGCAGATGCAACAAGAGGTGGACAAGGCAAACCATCAGATGTTAACACCCCAACGAGAGACAATGGTGGTCTGTCGACCCAACTTTGCAGTTCCATAGCTCTGTTACCTATCGACGCCGCTGCATGAGCCGCACGATTTGCACTCCTAGGTACCCAAGACCAAATCACCTCTTCGAAGCTCGAAACCACATCATGGTTTATGATCATGGACCTCCATGTCTTGCACACTGAGGTGCATTTGATAACAGATTTGACGGGTAGCCTAAGTAGGATCTCTTGTATGATTTCCTGAGGAAAAGTGCATGAGATCGCTTCAATTTTAAATTCCTGCATCCCTTGTGCGATATCTTGTATGTTATCCATGTCTTGCACATTCAAATAGTTACACCAAATGAGAAAAAACAATTGATACCAAAAAGAAAAAGAAGAAGCTATAATTAAGAAAAAAATATATATCGAGAGAGCTGTTTTTTTTTGGGGTCAAATATCCAGATAGCTGTTCTTAAGCAGAGTAAAATTCATATACATAAAATTAAAAACTAAAACTTAAAAAGATCCAGTAACAATGAGCATTAAGAACCCTAAACGTCATAGTTTTCAGATGAAATGATACCCAGTCTCAACTCTATAAATGAAAATTCCAAATCCATCAACTAAAAATAAAAAATAAAAAATAAAAACCCACCATTCATATCAGAAAAAGAAAAAGAAAACCTCTAAAAAATCCCAGAAAAAAGAAAAGAAAAACTTGAGGAACCTGATGAGAAAAGCCGAAGAAATGGAGCTGACGAAGCGTCTCGTTCTTGTGCTGTGTTAGAGAAGAAGAGTGAAGGAGATGAAGAAAAGAGAAGAACCCTTTTCTAGCTTCTAGGGCATTCGTTTCCGTACATGATGGCGAGGTAAGAGAATCGCGTCGGCGTAAACCTTAATGGATCAAAAGGACCTCTCTATTTATACGCGGAGCCTGATTAAAAGCTTGAGTAAGATTTACCTTTGCTTCATCCTGGGTTTACTGAGGATTTATGAATTGGAAAAAGCTTTCCCGGGAACATTTTAAAGCTGAAATTCCATTTTATCGCTATAATTCTGGAAATTTTTTATTTTGACCCCTGCTTTTTGTTGTCTTTTATATTTTGCCACCTTTGCCTTTGATTGGACCGTTTGGTTAATGCAACTTTATCTCCAGGCCCATTCGGTTTCTGAGCCTCAAGAACTCTATAGTGAAGACTTACATATGGTACTCAGATGAGACCGTATTTTTTAATTACAGATTAAATTGGTTAGTCATTGAATAAAATTGGTCAGTTTAATTTAATAGTGAAGAGATAGGACGTCACCTGAACACCATATATAAGGCCTTCACTATAGAATGACTCTTCTTAGCCCTCTCTTTTTCTTCCTTTTTTCACTCCCTACAGGCCCATTCGTTAGTTTCAAATCAATTCCTGTAGGTGTAAGGGCATACAATTTTAGGTGGTCTCACCAATTATCCCATTTTTTATCCTCTAGATATATAAGAATTTCTCCATAAGTGACGTTTTGTTCTACTTTTAAGGGGTGTATTCTATTAAGATTTTAAAAGAGTTAAATGGAGTTATAAAGTTTATAGAGTTCAATATATTTCAATTGATTTCTATAAACTCCATATAGAGTTTGATTGAATTACAAGATTGATTTTAATGGTGTTTATTAGAGTTTTATCATAAATGTTAAAAGAGTTTATTAGAGTTTTAATTAGTTCATAAGAAAAAATATATAACGTAGAAAAAGAGAGAGATTTTTTACCTCCACGTGACAAGCACCCACGTTCAAGGACTAGAAAGCGTAGAACACGTTCAAAGTTTCTAGGGTTAACATAAGATTTGTCATGGCCTTTTGTATTTATTCTTACCACTTTAATTTCTAACGAAATCAGGCAACTCATTAATTCCTTCAAAATAAATTACTTTTTGAATACACCTAATTTTGTTTGACTTTTAAAAAGTCATAATTGAATGTACTTGAATTTCGATGTATTCTTTTAATGTCAATTGAAATCTGAATTCAATACACCCAAACTTTTACAAACTCTTTTAAAATCTAAAAAGCTGAATTGAATACACTCAAACTTTTAAATTCTTTTAAAATCTCAATTGAATTAGTTCCTATCTTAATTGACAACCAAAAAAAAGTCATGGAGGAAATTGAAAATTGAAAATTAGGTGATGGTTCGGGGGTAATTTGGCAGTTTACTCTTATGAATTTAGGGGCTCAAACAGCTTGACCTGCCGTATCAAAGAGTTCTTTGATGCACCTCAACGGGTGAGATTTGGCTGCATTTGGACCCTGGACTTAATTTCCAAGTTCAATGCTACCTTGATCATACCCAGCATATAAAGCTCACGCTAGAACGGAATATCTCAGATTTGGCATTAATAAGTAAGAAATAACACCATGAAGACAAGTATTGAACATGCCCGTCAAGGCCAAAGAGGAGCACCAAATAGGTATAAGATTATAAAAAATTGATGTCAACAATCTACCAGTACTGAGCAAAACAAGCCGGAAAAATTTTTGAATCACAAATTCAGAACTAAATGTTCTAAGTCTAACCGCAAAAACAGTGACCACACAAGTACAACAAATTAAAAAGGGTGTCGTAATTAATTAGGCAGTGGATGCTTGTTGGGCTGCTTGCCTCTTTTTGGCCTCTTCGATGATAGTGAGCTTGATACCTTTTCCCTTAGGAAGACTTACCCATGGCTTCGTCCCCTTGCCAATGGTGAACACATTAGCCAACCGAGTAGCGAATTCATGGCCGGTGGCATCCTGAACGTGGATTGTCTCAAAACTTCCCTTGTGTTTCTCCCTGTTCTTGATTACTCCAACACGCCCCCTGTTCCTTCCACCTGTAACCATGACCACATTCCCAACATCAAACTTAATGAAGTCAGTGATCTTGTTGCTCTCTAGGTCAAGCTTAATGGTGTCGTTGGCCTTGATGAGAGGGTCAGGGTAGCGAATGGTTCGCCCATCGTAGGTGTTGATGTACGGGATACCCTTTTGCCCAAACTGCACTGACCGGACTTTGCAAAGTTTAAACTGCAGAGAAAAACCATCTCAAAATATCAGAAAAAAGCAAAAGTCCATTAGTTAACAAGATGAAATGCCGGATAGTTGCCTACATAAAACCAACTTGCATACTAGTACAGCACAGCCAATACTTAAGTTGAATTCAAGTTATCTACTTTGAAAATAAAATAAGGAAAAAGATATCCAGAGAACTCAAAGAAATAACCTTTGCCTCTTCATCCCTGATCGAGTGGAGACGGAACCGACCCTTTGTGTCATAAAGGAGACGGAAATTCTCATTTGTTTTGGGGATTGAAATAACATCTGCAAATCAGGGGGGAATATAAGTTCTTCAAAGTCAAAATTTATTGCCGTGAATTGGAGGGACACAGCTCCCAATACCAATGCGATTTTACGAATAGAACACATCCACAGAACATATGCACTTGAAGCAATTGAATACTGTTATATACAAACCCTTTGCTACTAAATACCCCAAAATCTAATGTTTCTTTCGAAGCACCGAACAACTGGTGAAATATGGGTGCCTTGATAAGAGAACATAAAAAATCATCCTACAGCAATATCCATGGGACAATTGTTCTCATGAAAATACAACTCATATTGACAAGAAAACAGAACAAGGCCTAGAAGAAAAAGAAAAAGAAAAAGAAAAAAAAATGATTCAGTTAGAAGATAGGATGAGCATACCCATGAAACCCGAAGGATATGTCTTGTCAGTCCTAACCTTCCCATCAACCAGAACATGTCGTTGCATCAAAATGGAAATGACCTCACGGTAAGTGAGAGCATATTTCAATCTGTTTCGTAAGATAATGACCAAGGGAAGGCATTCCCTGGACTTGTGAGGCCCAGATGAAGGCTTGGGCGCCTAAGGAGGAAAAATAAAAGAAGAATGTAAGGAATAAAAATGGGAAATAAGGAGGATGCATGCACAAGCATCAACATAAAAAGGAAGACAAAGATAAGATCTTCAACTTACAAAGGCACCGCCAAGTTTGTCAAGCATCCAATGCTTCGGGGCATTGAGCCTCTTCAAATGCTTCTTCAACCCTCTAGCCTGCAAAAGCCAAAAGCATAAAGTACAACAACCCAAATGACCCCATTTGTAAAAGAGAACATAACTCAGCCTGCCAAAAAAACTTCTTTTCGACTCTCTGGCTCTCAAATCTATACAGGAAATAACGTTATAATATCCAGAACCAAGACCAAGCAGCACAGCTGAAATTTGAGCTTATTTCACTTTTCAGGCAATGCAGAAAATCATGAAAACGGAATTTACAGTACAAAGCCGAAAGAGGTTAAAGACCCAACATGAAAATCTAGATCTGGGTATTACATATTATACGGATTTGAAAACGATAATAATAAGAGAAAAAATTCTATGACGATTGGGAAAAAGAGAAATAAAAACGAGGAGATAAAAAAATTGCAAAATGAAGAAAAAACAGGTGAGAGGGATGCAAGTACCATTTTGGGATTGTGAGCTTGACCTCCGGGAGAGTATTTGAGCCTCCGCAGCTATAGAGCTCTGCACACACTGCACAGAGAGAGGGGGAAGAGGGAGAGGGAGAGGGAGAGTAGCGCCTCCTAAAACCCTATAGAATTGGATTGCATGGTGTGCTTCAAGGGACCAACGGCTACTTGGGCCTTAACTTACTGCTCCACCTAAGCCCGGATCCCATTTTGGGTTGGCCCATTTTAGGTACTTGGCCCACTTGCAGCTCCGGTCGACGTTGAGGTGGCCCGTTAGGCCGCGCCACCGCTCGAACTAAAAGTTTAGCCACGCGGCGTTCAGAGACGGGGCGAGTTGCGCCAGTTCCAACTTTCTAGCAGTATGGACCGCCAAAAAAAAAAAAGTTCCATCACTTTATTTAAATGAGAATTGATCATTGCATTTCCTGATTATTCCTTTCTTCAAGTTCTTAACGCAGAGAGACAAACTGAGACGGAGAAGATGAAGCGGGCCATGGCGGCTGTTCTGCTAGTGTTATTATCGCTACTCGTTCATTCAAATGCCGAAGAAGAAGCTTTCGATGTTCGCCAACACCTTTCTACTGTTTCCAGGTTTCTCTCACACAAAATCAAAATTTCCCATTAATTTGATTACGAATTTATTAAAATTTTATTTATATTTAAGTGTGTTCTACGTGAATCGATATGTCGTTACTAGATTTTTGGTTCTTATTGCTTAGCCGTCTGCTTGGTTAAGAGTAAATTGCAGAAAGTGTTTCAAGTTGCAATTTTTTTCCATATTTAAATTGAAGAATTAATATTTTCAAGCAATAGAGGGTAGAATTATCATGGAAAGAGAAATAACTAATGGGTTTTTGTTGCAGATACGGTGTCGTTAAAGGCATTGCGGACAGTTCATTTGTTCCATCGAAGATTCCAAATGGATGTACTCCTATCCACTTAAATCTTGTGGTAAATTTATTTTTTGATATTGTCATTGCCAATTTCTAAATTTCCATTTGTGTTTCAACTGTTTGTGTGTTCAGTGTTTGTGTTTCAAATTTCAATTAGACAAAGAGGCAATAATAAATTTTGCTATCAGGAATTACTCAGATTTGTTTGAACTTTGTGTTCGCGTCTGTAAGTATGTATGTATGTATTCTGGTTACATATTTAGTTATCAGATGTGATTCTTTTTAAGCATGACTCCAACCCCGTTTGTTAAGATTAGCTTGCTGGCTTTCCACAAATGACATTTATTTTTAAATGCCTGAACTAGAGAGTTTCACATTTATGGCTCCTGATGCAACTTCTATTATCAGGCAAGGCATGGAACTCGTTCTCCTACCAAAAAGCGGATTAAAGAGTTGGACAACTTGGCAACTCATCTGGAGGTTTTACTGAGAGAAGCTGAAGAACAGAACCTGTCTTTGGAAAAACTTCCTGGTTGGTTAAAGGGTTGGAAGTCTCCTTGGAAAGGAAAACTGAAAGGTGGAGAATTAACTATCCAAGGAGAGGATGAACTCTATGATCTTGGGATCAGGACTCGAGCAAGATTTCCAAATTTGTTTAATGATGATTACCATCCAGATGTTTATGCAATAAAGGCAACACAGGTAAGATTTGTTTGTTCTAGGGCTTTTTTCTTCTCTTTTTGTTTAGAGCATTCAAGTTTTTCCTATATGTGATGAATTATGGCCATGATCAGCCTTGTTTTATAGGTTGTTGGTAACTTTGAATATGGCATAATAGTCATCTATTAACTTGGAAATTTTCCATTGCAATGTTTGGAGTAATTCTTATTTTCAAGTTGAGACTTTAAGCAGATCGAAGTTAATTATATCTCTCTGGCTGTGTGGCTGTGAATATCAGCCTCAGATTTTTGTCAGTTCTGTTTGAACCTTTCATCTTATGCATCTTTTTTATAATGTGATAGGTCCCTCGGGCATCAGCCAGTGCTGTGGCATTTGGCATGGGATTGTTTAGTGGGAAAGGAAGTCTTGGACCAGGGCGTCATCGAGCTTTTGCTGTAACCAGCGAAAGCCGTGCAAGTGATACAAAGCTAAGGTTTCATGATTGTTGTCAAAACTACAAGGTATTCTGCCGTCCTGATCTTACACACACAATCTGATTACACTTTCTTAGTTGGTGGAATTGGGTGTAGCTGGACTGGGTTGCCATAACCCCCATTTTTATTGGTTTATCTGCAATTCTGTGCTGTATATGTTGGTTGACGATGACTTTTATGCATGTAGGCATTTAAGAAAAGTCAGGAGCCTGCTGTTGATAAGCTTAAGGAACCCGTTTATGATGAAATAACTTCTGCATTAAGAAGGCGCTACAGGTTGAATTTTACAAGGCAGGATACGACTTCTCTGTGGTTTCTGTGCAAACAGGTGATTGCTTTATTTCTGTTTTCATACACAAAACTCATTTTATGCTGTCGTGGACTGAGCTTGTGAATTAATTATCCCTGAAGTGCAATTGATTTTATGGTCATCTGTGGTTTGTTCTATTTGGCAGGAAGCGTCCTTGTTGAATATAGTTGATCAAGGTTGTGCACTTTTCAGCCCTTCTGAGGTATGCTAATTTTTTTTATTGTCAAGATTAACCAAATTTCTTATATTATTCCACGATAATCAGGTTATTCTGTATAACATTTTTCGTTTGAACCTGAATATGATATATGAACATATATGATACACCATGACTCCGATACTGTGAAGACGACTAAAATGACTGAAACTAGTTACATGATGAATACTAGCCTTTTTGGCTTGTAGTTACATCTATGAATGGAGAGGGCACAGCAAGTGAATTGGTGCTGAAATTGAATAAAAAAAAAAAAAAAAAAAAAAAAAATCCTTTGAAGAATGCATTAGAGTAATTTGCCCCCTCCCCTTTGATGTGGTTTAGTAATATCAGCAAACACAGATTTACGTGATCTCAATGTTTTTTTGTTAGTTTATTTACATGAAAAAAGTCTCCTGTGTTTAGGTTTCTTTGCTGGAATGGATGGATGATTTGGAGGCCTTTATATTAAAGGGATATGGTAAATCAATAAACTATAGAATGGGAGTGCCCTTACTTGAAGATGTTGTGCAGTCCATGGAGCAGGCTATTAAGGCTGAAGAAGGTAACTCAATAGTGCGCAGTTATAACTGGATAATACTGTGTCACTGAGGACTATTAAACCTCATGGATATGTCAGTGTCTATTTGGACTACACTTAGATGTGGAATTCTTTGCATTATGTAGTTGTGTGTAAGCTATATGACTTCTGGTATTCCAATTCTCACTCACTCTCTCCCCCTCCCCTTTTCTTTGTAGAAAAACATGCTCCTGGTAGTTATGAGAAGGCGAGACTACGGTTCGCACATGCAGAAACTGTCATTCCATTTTCATGCCTACTTGGACTTTTTCTTGACGGATCTGGTGAGTGATTTCTTCAGTAAATTCTTAATTCGGTTGCATGATCTTGGTTTATGTGCAGGTGGGAATCTAAATGCTCATGTATATGGGTTCTTCTATATTCTGTTCTCATAGTACGGGTTATGTTTTCTATGTTTCAGAATTTGAAAAAATACAGAGGGAACAGGCCTTGCCACACCCTCCAAAGCCTCCCCAGAAGAGAAATTGGAGGGGCCATACTGTGGCACCTTTTGGTGGGAATAACATGCTGGTTCTGTACAGTTGTCCAGCCAACACATCAAACAAGCACTTTGTGCAAGTGCTGCACAATGAACATCCTATTCCAATGCCAGTAAGGCCCCATTCTTTACTTAATTTTAACTTTCTCAAACATTTTCGGATTCCAGACCTTGGTTTCACTTTTGAACTTAGAAGATTTCATGATGAACACAATTGGTATCGGATTACAAATTTCTTTTCATACATCTTTTTAATGGCGAATAATGGCCAGCTGTTTCAGTCGTAATGCGTAGCTCTCTGTTTTTTCCTCGTATTGAATTCTCAGATAATAATGTTTTGGTGTTTAGGGTTGTGATGGTACTGATTTCTGTCCACTTGATGTTTTTAAGGTACTGTTTCTTTCTACCCTACTCTCACATTTAATAGATATGATCTTTCAGCTCATTCTCATTTTACCATTTGTGTTTTTCCAGGAAAGAATTGTTGCTCCTCATTTGAAGCATGACTATAATTCTGTGTGCGATGTAAAACTAGAACAACAGGAGCAGAAGCCTGTTGCTAGTAAGTTATCTCAACTGTTCCGTTGGATGTTCTCACTGGGGAATGGTGAGAAAAGTTCCCTCGATGAATTGTAGTTTCTTCTTGTTTTCAAGTGCGGAAGGGATAATTCTTGCACTACCTTGAGTGACTTGGATTCACAGCAGCTCTTTCTTGTAGCAGACCTCTGTTTTGGATTGATACAATTGCTAATACTGAATCCGTTCGTCTTGTTGCAGTTTGAATTATCTGAGGCTGGCGGTAGAGTAGTGAATTTTGTAACATTGTCGTGTTGTAGTTTTGCTCATAACAAAACAGCTTCTCTGCCTTGCTGGGACTGGTGTTCATGGAGAGATGGATGTCATACACGTATTAACTACTTCTGGAGTAGCTTGCACATTTGTTTTTACGCGTTTTTATTCTAATGGAAAGTATTGACTAAGGGATCTATCAATTTGATTGTCTTAAAGCACTTTCGATGCCAACCAAATAGGGAGAGACTCAAACTTTCTTTTGGGCAAAGATGAAAAAGGAGCGAAGAGTTGGATGATATTTTCTTTATGCGTGAACCGTATCTGTACTTTTCTGTGTTCCAGAGCATTTGTTTTAAACTATGTGGATTTTATATCGGTAAAACATGAACCAAAGTTCATGAAAATTCTAGAGCATATGTGCTAGTCCAGGAGCTTTATATGTGAACTTGAGCCAAAAAGATGTAACAGGATATTCATGCCAATTTGTTGGATTGGAATCATAAATTGATTTACATACATCTAAGACGTAGTACAAGGCACCCAAGGCTTCATGCATTCATGCATTGTAATGATGGTGGGACGATCATATTTGTTCCTCGGCAACCTGCAACCAGCAACTTGTACAAAGCTCAGCCAGAGCTACAAATGTTGCAAGGAGACTAACAAAGAAAAACTTCTAATGGCACCTACCTTCGAAGTTTCTGAGTTCAAGTTCTCGTCGTTCCTGAACCATGGCACAGCAGCAGCACATGAGGTGAGTGAAGAAGTCATCACAAGAACTTCCCTGTAAACAAACAGTACATCTTAGTTAAGATAAATGATAGCAAAACCCTAATCTTCTAGTAGTGAAATAGAATATGAATTATGAATACTTACTTCTATGCTAAAAAGTTGCCGCAATTTCCTTCTCACAAAACAAGTGTAACAGCAACAGCCACCAAAAACAGAGCATGCTATAAGGTCATTGGTTGCTTGTTCACGAGCTGTGGTAAAATTGTAGTTAAAATCAAATCAATTAGAAGAACCACGTGGAAATCACACTATCAAATGTTCAGATGTTGAGAGCTCACATGTTTTTCCTTTTGACACCACATTGGCTATCCATGAAAATGTTCCACAAGGGTAGACGCAGGTCTTCAGGCCTATTGAAACTTGGTAACTTACACAGTGACAAAAGAGAGAGTTTAGAAGGAAGATAATGGCTCTGAGAAACTCACTTAGACAAGGCTCGCTGCAACAACCGAAAAGATCAGCCTGCCACCCGAACCACCCTTCATTCTCTGGCCGTAAGCCATGGTCTCCATAGATGGATTTGGCATTGGTTATGTACCTGTGCCATAAAATGCTTTACCCACCAAATAACAAGCCAGAGAAGCTTCCCAGTTTCTCAAACACTTACCCTGATACCACATAACTTGGTTCATTGACAAGAAGCTTCTCAACTTTCCTCCCAGGCAGCACACCACTGACCACATTTTCGGCTACATCAATAAGATGTTCAATCACTCTGCATTGATCGGGGTCGTCGTTAATCGTTCTTGACCGCTGCAATTCAATGTTCAGCTTCTCCTTCTCCTCCTGAAGTGCCTCACTGAAAGTCAAGTTAGGATATTTTGGAGACAATGACTTATCTAATATCTCTGCATCTTTCCTTGTTCTATCAGGTTTCAATACCACATTCTGGGCCTCCATGTCCTCTTCCTCAAGCGTATACATTCTTTGATCCTCTTCAATGGCCTGCAGGCCTTCCTTCAAATTCTGGATTCACAGTCACAAAACCAGTTATTAATTATAATTAGTTATCCATTAATCAAGCCTGTTTATATTGGTCTAAAACGTTATCTTGTCAAATAATCTATATATTATGAAATATGGTAAAATCACATGTCAGACTTTCTAATAAGAAAGTGCGTAATTAAGACGTACCCGCAGGCGAAACTCATGCAGCAGAGAAATCATGGGGAGGACTAGGAGACTGAGGTGGCGGTCAATCTCAGCTTGGACTTGGCGGAATTGATACACTACACTCCACCCCATGGCAAGCATGTAGAGACAGCTCTTGTCTCTGCAACTCTCCACTAATTGAAGTGCTTTCTCAAGAGCCTCTTCAAGACCAACCAACGTCTCCTTTGTAGCTGGGAGCTTCATCAGGTCAGTTGATTTAATCTTCTCGAGCAAGTTTCCTATCATCCCTACGTGCTCAGCGAGCTGCCCGCAGTTGTGGCGGTGTGTCCTGGCGTTTCGAGCCAAGGATACGATCGTGTTTGTGAGACTCAGAGCGTCTAGCCTTGATGATGCCTGAGCAGAAGCCAAGCTTGCCATTCTGGAAGCTTTGAAAACTGATATTGATACAAAGGACCAAGGAAGGAAGTATTATGTGGACAAATGCAAGGGACATATCTTTTGCTTTTCTTCTTTTTTTCTTTGGTAGCAATGGTGGTGCAACTTTGTTTGCTTTGTGTGCTGTGAATGCTTTTTTATCAATCGGTTCTATCTTTTCTTTCTTGGTTTTGCTTTGGAAGGAAGGAAATGGACCGATGACTGTTGTCATAAAATAATATATATAGCACCAAATACATATTCAAATGCAGACTAATAATAGGTAAAAAAAACAAACAAATAATTTTTTTTTGTTTTTTGTTTTTAATTAATCATAGTTACTTGCATTGATGCATCTTGTATTGAAGTTACAGAATGCTTTTAATTGTAATAAGCAACAGATCCCATGCATCAAATGTCAAGATTCAAGGAGTATTTAAACAAAATAAATTATTTGATTATATACTTAACTCTAGTGAATTTTAGCTCAAGCAGTCGATATGTCCGAGTGGTTAAGGAGACAGACTCGAAATCTGTTGGGCTTTGCCTGCGCAGGTTCGAATCCTGCTGTCGACGCTATTTTTTTTTTTTTTTGCGGTACTTTTTAAATTTGGGCCTTGGTCCCTGATGGGCTATACCCGCCGACAAAAAATAAGAAAACAAATGAAAGCTCAAGACCCTTTCCGGTACTAACTTGAGTTTCTGGACATCTACGCTATCTCTGCTCAAAACCCTAACCCTCCATTTTCCGGCGCGCCGAGCACACTGATTTTCCAGAAACACACACACACTCTCTCTCTCTCTCCCTCTCTCTCTCAAAACCCTGACCCAACAACCATGGCTTCCCACGCACCAAACTTGGAGTGCCGCATGTACGAGGCCAGGTACCCAGAGGTGGACATGGCGGTGATGATCCAGGTCAAGAACATCGCTGACATGGGCGCCTACGTCTCGCTCCTCGAGTACAACAACATCGAGGGCATGATTCTCTTCTCGGAGCTCTCCCGCCGTCGGATTCGAAGTGTCAGCAGCCTCATCAAGGTGGGCCGAATCGAGCCCGTCATGGTCCTCAGGGTCGACAAGGAGAAGGGCTACATTGATTTGAGTAAGAGGAGGGTTTCCGAGGAGGATATCCAGGCCTGTGAGGAGAGGTACAACAAGAGCAAGCTCGTCCACTCCATCATGCGTCATGTGGCCGAGACTTTGGGCATCGATTTGGAGGTATTTTGGTGTAATTTCAGTTGTTTTGGTTTTGTGCTGTTTTGAATTCTCTGAATTTTGTATGAATTCTACCTTTTTTTGTTTGTTATCTATTGTTTTCATAGGATGTTACCCTGTCACTAATTGACTTTACTTGTTACAGGAGCTGTATGTGCATATTGCCTGGCCGTTATACCGGAAATATGGTCATGCTTTTGAGGTGAGGATGTTCACCATCTTTCAATGTATGTTTGTGGTGTTAATTTTCAGTAGTGAACATGAATTATTACTTTGTGCAGGCTTTCAAAATAATTGTGACCGATCCTGATTCAGTTCTTAGTGCCCTCACACGTGAGTTCAAAGAGACTGGCCCTGATGGACAAGAGGTAATGCCTGTTTGTGTGAGGATTTTGGTTCATATTCTCCTGTTTATGTCGCATATGCATAGGTGTGATACTCCCTTACATCTTAATTTGTAGGTCACTAAGGTGGTTCCTGCTGTGTCGGAGGAAGTGAAAGAATCTTTGGTGAAGAATATTAGGAGAAGAATGACCCCACAACCATTGAAGATCCGAGCTGATATTGAAATGAAGTGCTTCCAATTTGATGGTGTTCTTCACATTAAGGTTTTGTGTTGTCCTTCTGTGGAATCTGCGTATTTTTCTGTCATGATGCTTTCTCTGTGGCTGGATTTTGATTTTCTACATACATGTTGTTCTTGTTTTTGCAGGATGCTATGCGAAAAGCAGAAGCTGCAGGCAATAATGACTGTCCTGTGAAAATTAAATTGGTTGCTCCTCCGCTTTATGTTCTTACCACACAGACTCTTAATAAGGTTTGCTGACACTGATTTAAATCTTGAGTTGATCAGTTATTGTTTCAACTGCATGATTACTATGCAGTAAACTTGATCATCCACCAAGCAATATAGTGGCATATTGATAATGTCCCTTATCAACATGACATGTTTTTTTTGTCAAGAAGCAAACTGTTTGATATTCAGGTTATAAATGTTTGTTTTCCTGCCTGGCCAAAGAAAAAACATTAGTCCTAAGAATATATCTCCTCCTTGCACTGATTTCCCCTAGTTTAGAGTGTTCAAATTTTGTACCTTGAACCTTTGAATTTGAGTCAGTTAAGATATTACCCGATGGCTGCTCAGAGGATCACAACCTTTTTCCTGCACTGGTGCTATATTGCGTTGTAGGTTTACGGTCTGGCCAATATCCATTTAGTAATATGTAGCTTCAATTTCAACTTCGAACGTAGTTATGGGACTATTCAACCTTGCCATTCTAGCACTATTTTAATTTCTACATAATGTTATGGTTCTTATTCATTGCTTGATTTGTATCATCAATTTTTCCGATTCCTGCCCACGAAGCATTAGTTACTACTTCTCTGCTAAAGATACCATATTCAGGAAGCTAGTAATGTAGAAGTTTCTGCTGACTTCCCTGAAGGCAGTTGTGAAGCACGATAATAGTTGCCGCTTGCCGCTTTTGCTAATGAATTTTATAATTTCTGTTCTGGCTGGGCAGGAGCAAGGGATATCAGTTCTAAGCAATGCAATTGAAGCTTGCACGCAAGAGATAGAACATCACAAGGGGAAATTAGCAGTGAAGGAGGCACCCAGAGTGGTGAGTGTCAACCCTCTTCTTTATATTTTGTCTCTTTTATAAGTATTTTGGTTTTCCATCTGTTTCTTTATATTCAGCTGACTTTGAATGCTTATCAATCTTTTAGCAGAAGTTTTTATTTTCCATACCTCATAGCGTTGAGTTTCAAATCTATAGTAATCTTAATTGACTTGGCATATAAATTTTTTTCATTTTTGTGTCTAATGTGGTGTACTGATGTAGGTGAGTGAACGGGATGACAAACTTCTTGCTGAACACATGATTAAGCTCCGCCAGGAGAATGAGGAGGTCAGTGGTGATGAGGGTAGTGAGGAAGAGGAAGACACAGGAATGGGAGAAGTTAACGTGGAAGGTGCGGGCCCCGGCATTGTAGATTGAAGAAGAATTTTGTGGGATAGATAGTGGCTTACCATTTTCCTCAAGCAAGTTCCTTTTTTAACAGTTGTATAAAACCAATTTCATAGTATCGTATCATCGAGATGTTTTGGCAATTTACCGAATTGAGCAGAGTCTTTTGGAGGATACTTGACACCTTAATAGTTCAATATTTTAAAACAGTAATGGAGAAATTCTTTGTGGCCCTCCCGTGTATATGTTTTTCTCTCTCTCTCTCTCTCTCTCTCTCTCTCTCTCTCTTGTGTGTATTGGTGAGCAAATGGGTTCTGGTGGTTCTCATGTTGTTTCTATTTATTTATTTATTTTTAATTTTTAAATGATTGATATAATTTTCAGACGAGCTGTTGAAAACATAAATAAAACAATTGCCCAGTTTTATACTTTGTCGTGACCCTTGTGAGATCCTGATAGAAATGCAGCCTTCTCCATTGGATCTCGAATCTTGATAAGCTGCTTGGCCACTCCATATACGTCCCTTTCTTTCTCTATCTCATTTTCAACAAAGCTTTAAAACACACAAACAGAGAGCTAGCAAAATGGGAATTAGCTCAGTCCCCAGCTTCTCCAAAATGCGAAAGCTGCCATGCATATTCACACTCACGCTCTTGCTCCTCTGCCTCACAATCCTCCTCTTCACCAAAACCAACACCTCTTCTCCTCTCTTGTTCTACTCCGATGTTCAGACCTCAAACCCCATCACAGCACCGTCCCTCCAGACCGGTGCCGTTTCGGATGGAGCCACTATTGTTTCTGTGACTTTGAATTGGGAACTCTGTACGGGTTGGGGAGCTGTTGATTACATACCATGTTTGGATAACTTCAAGGTAATCAGGGCCTTGAAGACGAGGAGGCATATGGAGCGTGGTGAACGGCATTGCCCGGAGCAGAGTCCAAGGTGTCTGCCGCCACTTCCCAAGGGTTACAAGGTGCCAGTTCCGTGGCCTAAGAGCAAGGACATGGTGAGATTTATGTTTTGGTAAGATTTGTTTTTGCTTTTTTTTACTGCTTTGAATGGACAAGGTGGGTAGTGGTACTTCATATTTGGTTTGGTATGTGTTAAGCACATTTCATAATTTCTCATTTGGAGAATGTGATTGCGGAAGTGTCTCATGGGCACAATTTTGTACTTGGAGTGGGCATCATTTTTTTGGTAAGTATCATGAGGTGTCCGGACTAGCTTGCGTGCACCTCTACTAATTCCCACTCGCTAAACTGAGCCTACCGTTGGCCACCAGGTGTTGAGCGGGCACCATTTGGTTTACCAAATGTTCCCTACCCATAGCTACTAGGAGTGGGCATAATTCAGCCTTAAATTTAAACCGAAAACCTATTATGATATTTATAAGGGTAAATTCAAAGAAATTGCGGACTTTACATGCACACTACATTCAGATACTAACATAATTAATAACTAAACTGAAATGGACCAACCGAATTAAATGATTTAATCTAAGTAATCTAGGAATTTAATATAAGAATCTAATTCAGAAACTAATACTCTAATTTACTCTAACCAGAATCGTAATCGTAGATTCGTAGTGAGTGCTATTAAATGATTGATTTTAATTTTCAGACAAGCTGTTCAAAATAGAAATAAAATAATTGCAGAGTCGAAAACCTGTGTCTTCTCTTCGTCGGATTTTCGAAATCCTGCTAGAAATACCGCGTACTCTTCTCGATCTTGAATCTTGATCAGCTGGCCTGCACCGTATAAATATACGTCCCTTTCTCTCTCACATTCAACAAAGTAAGCTTTAACGCGCAGGGAGGAACAGAGCTCTCAGAAATGGGCATCTCAGTCCCAAGCTTTTTCAAAGAGCGAAAATTCCCTTTCATCTTCACACTCTCACTCTTGCTCGTCTGCGTCACAGTCCTCCTCTTCACCAACACCAACACCCCTGACCCTCTCTTCTTCTATTCCGATGTTCACACGCCGTCGTCTGCACAACCCGTCGTCATCGCTTCTCCTCTACCCGCGCACGCCTCAAACCCCATCACAGCGCCGCCCATCCAAAACGGTCCCGTTTGGGATGAGACTAGTATCCCTGTTTCTGTGAATTTCAATTGGAGACTCTGTACGGGATCGGTGGCTGTTGATTACATACCGTGCTTGGACAATTTCCAGGCGATCAAGGCCTTGAAGTCTAGAAGGCATATGGAGCATCGCGAGCGGCATTGCCCGCAGCCGAGCCCCAGGTGTCTGGAGCCGCTTCCGAAAGGTTACAAGGTGCCGGTTCCGTGGCCTGAGAGCAGGGACATGGTGAGATTTATACTTTGGTAAGATTTGTTTCTGGTTTTTCTCAAATGGGTTTATTGCTTTCAATGAAGAAGGTGGGTATTTTGGTGTGTTAGTATGTTATGTCAAGATTCAAATCCAAAGGGTATAGCTTGTAGATATTTTAAGCAATCGACTTTAACATCTAATTGTTCAAGAAAAACTTTCATGATTTTCCTTTTTGGGAAAGTGATTTTATGGAAATGTGAAGTTGGTGGCATATCCTGAGTACTGCAGCATTCAATAATGTATTGGTGATTTTCTCTGTTTTTAGATATGGTATGACAATGTTCCTCACCCAAAGCTTGTTGAGTACAAGAAGGACCAAAATTGGGTAAAGAAGTCTGATGATTATCTTATTTTTCCTGGCGGTGGTACTCAGTTTAAGGAAGGAGTTAATCACTACACTGACTTCATCGAAAAGGTACAGGGTTACCTGCCTTTGCCACTTCTGATTTTACATTGGTTTTGAAATTTTTTATATGGTTTTTTATTTCTGTTTCACTCCAGACTTTACCAGTTATTGAATGGGGGAGGCATGTAAGGGTTGTTTTAGATGTTGGTTGTGGTGTTGCTAGCTTTGGTGGCTATTTGCTGGACAGAAATGTTATTACCATGTCATTTGCCCCAAAAGATGAACATGAAGCTCAGATACAGTTTGCTCTTGAAAGGGGAATTCCTGCTACTCTCTCGGTTATTGGAACACAAAGGCTGACATTTCCCGACAATGCATATGATTTGATTCATTGTGCAAGGTGCAGGGTTCACTGGGATGCAGATGGTACTTTGTCTAAATAAATCACTTTCGAGTTTGAAGTTCTTTCTTAATTCATTTCTTCTCTGTCCTATTTATTCTCTCTGTTAATTTAATGGTTTTGGTTAGTGTAGGTGGGAAACCACTATTGGAGCTCAACAGGATTCTTAGGCCTGGAGGTTTTTTCATATGGTCTGCTACACCGGTTTATCGTGATGATGATAGAGATAAGCATGTATGGAAATGTTCGTAATCTGATCCCTCTCTCTCTCACTTATCCCTCTGATCACCTTCTATTTTCTTTACTGGACTACATTTCATGGAAGCTTCTAAATCCATCATATAATTAGTGTAGAGTTTAGCAGCAATATTTACTATAAAAAGTGAAGATATGTTAAGCCGATCTAAGTTGGATGTATATGCATGTTTCTTCCAGCTATGGAGGCTCTGACAAGATCAATGTGCTGGGATGTTGTCGCTAAGACTGTTGATTCAACTGGAATTGGGCTTGTAATATATCGGAAGCCCATCTCATTTGTACGATATTTTAAACGCAAAGAAAATAAACCACCTATTTGTGGTCCTAAAGACAGGAAAAACAGTTCATGGTAATTTTCTGGGATATCTCTTCTCTCGTATTGCTGCTACTGCTTATCTAAGCAGAGTACTCTTTAGACTTGTCCTAAATCTTGTCTAAGTTTGTGTTACAGGTATGTGCCACTCAGTTCTTGTGTTACCCTACCACCTCGATCTAGCTGGCCCTTACCCTGGCCCAACAGGCTTACCAGTAAACCTCCGAGCCTAGCTACTAACCCAGAAGCCGAGGAAATGTTCTACAAGGACACCATACATTGGTCTGCACTTGTGTCAGATGCCTATGTGAACAATGCTGCTATAAACTGGTCAAGCGTGCGGAATGTAATGGATATGAATGCTGGTTATGGAGGGTAAATTTAGCAAATGAGTAGCTGCTACTTCCATATTTTATTTTTGTTGTATCATCATTGCTTAGTCATTGGTGATAGATGATCATTCCAGTGCTTATTATTTTTGGAAGTATGCTTATTGTTGTTGCTCTAATCCAGTCCTCTTTTTCGGGTGGTGCCTTTCAGATTTGCTGCGGCACTTACCGATCAACTTCTCTGGGTAATGAATGTCATCCCCGTTCATGTACCAGATACTCTGTCCGTCATTTTCGACAGAGGGTTGATTGGAATTTACCATGACTGGTGCGAGTCTTTGAATACCTACCCTCGAACATATGATCTACTGCATTCCAGTTTTCTCTTTGAAAACCTTACGCAAAGGTACGATACAATTTCGCACTACTCTTGTGACCTTTTGATTGCTTGCTAGCACCTACCTGCTATAGGGCATCTGATGAACGAAAACACTGAAACATGATTACAGCATGTCAATATTATTTTCATCTACGCCACGGTCAACAATTTTGGTTGTAATTTAGTCTTCGCTTTTGTCAGATGCGACATGATAGATGTAGTGGTGGAAATGGATCGCATATTAAGGCCTGGTGGGTATTTAGTGGTTCAGGACACAATGGAAATGATAAACAAGATGAGGCCAATTTTGCATTCGCTTCACTGGTCGACAGCTGTCCACAAAGATCAGTTTCTTTTTGGTAAGAAAGGTTTCTGGCGTCCCGGAAGAGGTTCAAGTAAATCATGATTGAAGGTTCTGATCTTTTTTTCGCCTGTACAATCAAATCTTATATCATATATTAATCAATTGTAAGACAGAAATAGAAAGTTTTGAAATTTTAGCTTTGGACTCTCAAAATAAGCGTCCGCGGTCATAGATAATAAATTATTTCCATAGTGGTAATGACACAGCTTGTGGCATTTTTACAATCTATGCCTTGTATTCATTCTCGTTGAGATAAATACAAATGAATAGGAAGGCATATTACAGACACAGATGACTAAATCTTATACATTATTAAGCATAAACCAAATGCAGTTTGTTGTGCAATGTGACTAAGGGGATAAGCGGAAAAGATTAAAGAAGAAAAAAACTCATACATGGATAGGAGTTGGAAGCCATGAAAACTTGCAACAGAGAAGGATAACCAACGGAAACAAATCATCATGAGACAGACAAACAACGGAAGGTGGAGTTATCCCTGATGAGGTTGCCATCACTTGTACCAACAGTTCTTGAATAACAACCAAACTCACCACTGTAACGAAAACTCTGCTCGGTATTTGCAGTTCCAGAAAGAACAGAGTGATCCTTCACCTCCATCCACCCTCTCGAATCCTGACTGTTATAAACCTGACTCGAATAGTCTCCATGCAAGCTCTTCTCCTTCATCGAATGCGACATGTTTGTGACTAACACATAAGTGTCCTTGTGAGACCCAGGTAAAGTAGCAGTGATGACATTGATAGGGTACCTCCTCCTAGCTCTGGTCCTAAGCACCACCACACCTTTCTCATTCTCAACCTTCACTTCCCTTTTGGCCTTGACTTTCTGCTTCACCAATTTATAAGTCCCGTTCTTTGCAAATCGAATCGAGTTCTTGAAATTGTACCGCTGGGAGAATGTGGTGGTGTAGTTGCCTGAACTGGACTTAACCCATCCCACAAACTCACTGCGTCTCTCTGCTCTGATCTTGAAAACCCCATCAAGCTGTTTAAACTGGGTACCTCGATTCACTTCAATAGCAGGAGGCAGAGGCAAAACGCTTGATTTGGCCTTCACCTTTTTTGATTGATGGTCCAACCAAATGTGCAAATTGGCATCCACAAGCCAATATGAAATCCCATCAGCCACTCCAATTCCAAAGCTATGAGCTTTCCCATCTAGAAGCTTCCCCAGAAATGGCGTCAATTCCAAATCGTACGAAGGAAGGTCGAAGGCTCCGATGGCCACCACCGGTTCCCAAAACAGAGGGTTGATGCCACCGGTGAACACCACCGGAAATGGAACTTCCGAACCCACCAATTCGCCGTCGACTGTCACGAAAACCTCTCTGTAAGCGCCATTGCCGCGCCCGGTCGCTAAGTTGTTCGTTGTGATGTATAAATTTGGCGGGTTCGAGTACCAAAACTCATCGTTTCCGTGAAACGACACGTACAGTTCCAGTACGAGTCGTCGTGTGTTCCGTGGGATCCGGATTTCCTTGGAGTGGAAATCCGATTCGCTCTCGATTCGGAACCAGCATCCTTTATCTCCGTTATCGGATATCGGTAAGATCAAATCGGCCGGTTCGTAAGCAACAGTTCCCAAATTTTGATATGGGATTATCGAAGCAACCCTCATCACGGGGTTAAGCGTAACGGCGACGTTTTGGTTGTAATAGAGGAAATGGACTTCGACGTGGTAAACGCCGGTGTAGACGTGGTCAACGACGTTCTCGAGCATCATCGTGAGGTTGAGGCGGCAGCGCGCGAGGAGAGAGGAGTATCTGGTGATGTCCTTTCGAACCTTCCAGAAGATTCCTTTTTCTGTCGGCTCGGCCGTGCTGGTGCGGAGGAGCTCCGCGCCGCCAAGCCACAAGCCGACTATCCGGTCGTACTGCTCGCCTTTGCATTTGGCGCGAAACTCGAGGCCGATGTGGGACCAGGGAGATGGGCAACCGGACGGCGGGGAGTAGCGGGTGGAGAAGGGAGGACTATTCATGGTGTTGGCGAAGGAGTGCCTGAGGACTCGGTGGGAGCAGGATGGGGTCAGCTGATCGAACGGTAGGGGATGGCCGAGCTCGAAGTATTCTTGGGATTTGTGTTTCAGAAGATTGGCGGATAGGGATTTGGTAAAACGATCTGGGAAGGAGGAAGGTGAGGCTGGGTTTGTGAAGAACAGGAGAAGCAGAAGGAGTACGCCGTACATTTTTGCGAAGCAGTGCAGTGGAGTGAGAGGTCAACTTCAAAATAACGGTTGCAGGGGGATTTCATTTTATTTGGCTTTTATCTATATTTATTTATTTTAATCTGAAATTATGAAATTAGTTGCAACAAATTCACAATAAACAATCAAAAGCCAATTGAAAAAAATACAAAAGAGTGAAGTTTCCTAGTTAATAGCGCCAATGCTATGAAATTGGCGCCGTCCATCGTCTTCCTTTTTCTCATCCCTTTCCAGCAATCTAATTGAAACACTGGGCATGATAATGAAATGTTTTATTCATTTATTTATACCAATTATTCTAAATTAATCTAATTTAGAAGATAGGGATTCGAGATTCGGTACTCACTGTATAAACTAACTGTCTTAATTCACGCATGCATTTTAATTCACGTATGCATACTAAATAAATGTAAATTGCAAACCATTTGTTAATTAAGATGTTAATCGCAAATCATTTGCTCCATTAACCATTTATCCTCCTCTGCTAATAAGAAACTCGGTGATATCATCATACCCCATTGCCGTAGCCATGTACAGAGGGGTGGCGCCGCTGTTGCTCTTGGCATTGACATTAGCCCCATTCTGAACCAATATCTCAACGGTCTCCAAGCTCCCAGCATCAGAGCAATATCCTTGTGGCCTTTAATGGCTGAGGCGTGCAGGGCTGTCAAGCCATATTGATCACAGCAGTTTATATCCGCGCCATTTTGCAACAGCAATTCAACATGCTTCAAATCTCCTCGTCTTGCCGCCATCAATACTAGTTCTCCCATTTCTAGCTTCTGCATGGCCAAAAATGTATCATAATCAAATATCAAAGCATTATTCTTCGTCACATAGACATAGTCCCCCCCCCCCCCCCCGGTTTGCACCTAAATTCGTATCCCTTCACCGTTGTTAATTTAAAATGGTTCGCACTTGTTTCATATAAAAAAGAACAAAATGCATATGAAATTAAATTGGGCCTCATATTAACCAGAGTGACCCTCATTGAAACCCATCAGTCTTTGGGCTCAAATCAAACCCAACAAAATTAAGGTTTTTGTCTTCGTAAAACTACTTACATCCTTATCACAAGCAGCATCTTGGATCGAACGGCGGTTATCACATACTCCATCCCCGCAGCCCATACCGTAATCCAATCGATCGCAGGCCGCTGCCACTTGTGGCTCCTCATGTCCGTTGGATGCCCATTTGGAATCCACCTCGTAATTTACTTGCTCGGACCTCGCACTTGCGTCGATCCTCAATCCAGCTTCGAGCAGCAAGTTAATCATGTCCTCCGGGTTAACCAACTCGGTCGCAACTTGAAGGAGCGACTCAGCATCCCCGGGTGGAAACTCGGCGAGAATCGTTCTCTGCCGCTTGATTATATTCCGGGCGGCGTCGTAGTCCCCGCAAGTGACAGCGTGGCGCAGAAGAAAGGGGCCCACGAAGGCAACCTTGAGCTTGAGGTCGTGAGTGGAGCCGCGGGAACAGGAGGAGAACCACTGGTTGATTGACTCGGACTCGGAGTCGAGGCTGAACTCGGAGGTTCTGATGAGGAATCGGTCGGACGGCGAGCGAGGAAAGGTGGGCGGAAGCTGGGCCTGAGGCTTGAGGATGACCTGGAAGGTAACGTGGCATAACGGAGGGATTAAACCGGTGGGTGGTTTGACGAGGAACTTGTGAGGCGAAGATGTCTGGACCTTGAAGGCTACGGGGGCGGTGGCGCAGAGGGAGGTCAGGTGCACGTTAGCTCGGCATTTACGGTTGAGTGCAAAATCTATGCGAACCTCTTGCTCTGAAACTTGTACTAGTTTTTTTTCCATTGGATAACAGGGCTGGAGATTTGTGAATTGTCTGAATGAAGGAGGACGAGTTTTGTGGGAGGAGGAGGAGGACATTGGCATTTGCGCTGGCACATACGGTTACTCACGTGATTCTGTGGGTCCCACCACTCAACCACGTCCTTGGATTCACGGGCTTTTGTTCTTTGCCTCGCCAACGAGAAATATAGGGCGGGTACTAAAAAGTTGAAAGGAGGATTTAACAATCAATCAACAAATAAAACATCAATCAAATAAAAAATCAACAAATAAAACACATATAGTGACAGCCAAAAGATAATTAAATTATGAGAGTTCACTAATAAGCAACAGGACATGTGAAAGCAGGTGGTGCCAAATGGGAAAAATAATTGTAAGATAATCTTCAGGAAATTTTTTAGTGTAACTATTACATGTGTACTTATTTATTAATACTATATATTAAATTCATGACATATGAATTTTTTTTATTAATTTTATATATTAAATTCATGACATATTAATTGTATTTTTCACTTATACTATAATATATTAATTAATAATATCATATCTTGATATAAGAGTGGCCCTGATAATTTTCTCCACTTCATGCCTACCTCCCAAATCAAAAGTTTTAGAAGGCTTGTAACTAATTTGGAGGATGCTCGCTTAACAAATTTGGTAATTAGCATGTGGAAAGACTTCACAACTCAATTATATCAAGCCCTACTAATTTGAAGGTTTGTGTATACCTAATCCATCACATCATTAAGAGGAGAAAGACTTTCATGAAATATAAATAATACTATTTTGCTATCTCTGATTAATAACGTTGTAACATGCATGACAATACTTTCATATAGTATAGTATTATTAATCGAGAATAGCAAAATAATGTTATTCTCATTGTAACTAAAATTTTCTCCATTAAGAGGCTCTTCACGATGGTGTTACAGTCACATTGAAAAATTACAAGTTAGAATAGTCAAGATCGCTCGTGCTCGTCCTAGGTGGGTGTGCCCGTGTGTTGGGGCTTGTTTGTGATCTTCATGGATCATGGCCCATATTGGGCTTTTGACATCATTTGTGGTTGGTGATGGCCCAAGCCCAAGCCTAAGGATTTGGCAGATCAGCCACGTGGCAATGAAGGCACGTAAATAAGAAACTAGTGTGTAAAGTTACTAGATGATTCTTTGGGTTTCCATATTAACCGACGTTTACAACAACATGTGGTTACTTACATCAAATATCAACAGTTACATAACCGGGTTTAAAATTTTAATTTCAATCCGTCCATCTGTCCGTTTTCACTGTTGTAGCACGCAAAATCCCAACACCGATAGGTGACTTCATCAGTTATATAACATCACACGAAATCGGGCTCTCCCCTGCAGAAGTTACCTCCGCGTTCTGGCGCGCATACAATCAGTTAATATTCAGAGAACCAAAAGCCACTCAAACACACACACTCTCACCCATTGTAGCTTAGCTCCTTCTCTATCACCTCTCTCATCTCTATCTTCATTCATAGCCTTTTTTTCTAAAATCTCTTCAGCTTCGTCTTCCGCTTTACCTCTCTCTTTTGCCGTCGTACTTTTCTCACCGACGGCAAAATGTTCTACTCGCACCAGCTACTAGCTCGTAAAGCTCCTCTGGGCCAAATCTGGTAATGCATTATCTGCTTCATTCATTTTACACACGAGTTTCGTTGAATCTATTGTTTAAATATATGCGAATTTCTTCATAGCTCTGTTTTTCATGCGTTTTGATCGTTCTGTCTGTTTGGGTTCTCCGAGTAAACCTCTTTGTTGCTGCGATTTTTTTTCCATGTCGTTTGTTTTAGAAATTAACTTTTCTTTGGATTTACAATTGCGCTTGCAAATGGAACTCTCTGTGTTTTGTAACGAAGGATGGCGGCGACAATGCACGCCAAAATCAACCGGAGGAAGCTCGATAAGCTCGATATCATCAAGATCTGGTTTAGTATTTGCTCCTATTAATTTTGATTTTTTCAAATTGTTTTCAGTGTTTTTCATTCTGCTAAATCCATGTAGATTTTCATGATTTTTTGTTTGCAGCGAGGAGATTTTGAATCCTTCAGTTCCCATGGCTCTCAGACTCTCCGGCATTCTCATGGGTAGCCAAACTCTCTCTCTGTATTCTCATCGTTTTTGGTCTCTGCTTCCATAGCCAGTAGCTCACCAATTCATTTCGTCAAATGCGTTTTCAGGTGGAGTCGTCATCGTGTACGAACGAAAAGTTAAACTACTCTACGGTGACTGTCCGATCCTTCTTTCTTTTGGTTTAAGCTCTGAACATATTGGTCTCCGGTTTCTGAATATCTATTTCTGACTTTTACTTTTGTATTGCTCTCGTTTCCGTACAGATGATGTGACTCGTCTTCTGGTAAATACTTGAAATATCTTCCTATTTCTGGTTGACCAATGGCATTATATTCTATGTTTGTTTAATTGATTTTTCCTATCGGTGTTGTTCTAGGTCGAAATAAACGAAGCATGGAAGGCGAAATCTGTTGCCGACCCAACTGTCCTCCCCAAAGGGAAATCTCAAGCCAGGTCAGTCGGCGCTTCGTCGTCTTCTTCTTCTTCAATGGCCAAAAGTTTTAGAAACGGCGCACGTTAGAAATGGCCCATGTTAGAATGGCTTTTGGGTTTTTCTTTATTTCACTACCAACTTGTGATTTATCGTGGTAGTGCAAAGTAGAAAGTACCCACACGGTCACACCCATGCTGGAGGGGTAGGATTGTCAATTGACTCGATTAACTGTGGGTTTTGCTTTGGGTGTGTCTCCATGTCTGTAGGAAAGAAGCTGTAACTCTGCCTGAGAATGAAGACATAGATATTGAAGGAATGCTTAATTTTTCCAACGGGGCCACCACCATGTTCCAGCAAACCTCCTATTTTGCTATGGTAAGTATCGAAAAAACTCTGCAAGCATCCAAATGATGAAATATTTTCAAGTTCATGGCCTTTGAGCTCTCATTTTTTTCCCTTTTGAGTGGTGCCAGTGCTACTAGAGTTCATTCTTTTGCCAAGTTCATGTGTGCTAATTATTAAACTATTTTCATTGTTTGTCTTTTGTGATTTAAATGTGGATCATAAGTAATTTGGAGAGTGCAATTGCAATTCTTTAGTTAATAAAAATAAGTTTTATAGAAGCATTTCTCCTTCATAACCAAGGCAGTCAATAATTTGTGCTTCTAGACCTGCTACCTGAGTGATGATGTGACATTCTAGGGAGAAATGTAGTTTCTGTTCGATGGAGGTTATACCACCATTAATGACACCTGGTTGAAGTTTTTCTGATGCTACAAGGCTCACCCTCATGTTGATGTAGTTACATTAGAAAGGAAATGCTGTTTCCACTGTTATGCTTATAGTTATTATGTGTGGTAGGAAGATGCCTATCTATGAACTCCATACAGAAATTTCTAAATTGATGGAGTCCTCTAAAGAAACAGTTACTCATTTACTTATTCTGTGCTACCCTTGCAGCGACTTGATAGTGTGGACGAACAGTATGTTAACAATGATGCAGGGGAGGAAGATCCACCTCAGCAGTTCCATCAAGGTTCTGTCATTCTTTTAATCTGCTATCTTCACAGTGGTCTAAGTTTTGAATCTTTTGACCACATATTTCCAAATCTTACTTACCTGCTAACCTATGTCATCTCCTTATTCAGCTGCGGCCGAGAATATCACCTTACCTGAACGTTTTGACTCATGTCAGGCTGATGCATATTTGCACAGTCGCTTGGAGAGGTGAGTTGTGTTTCATTCCTCCTACAGCAAAACCCCATGTTTTCCTTTTTGAATCACAAAACCCCATGCTTTCGTAGTCATGGTCTTATATGTCTATTCTATGTAAATGGCAGATTTGACATTGAAGGGGACGAGGAGACACAGTTGAACTTCACGTCAGGAGAGCACACACAGATTCACATTCCTCCTTCGCCTCCTCGAGATGAACGTCAAAAAGGTCAGCACGTTCTTTACCTATAGAGTAATTTTTCAATTTTCTGAATTTAGATGAATTTAGAAATAGGGAACTGACAAGTAACCACCTGAAGCTTTTTCCTTTTCCACGTTGGTTTAAATGTCTATATATTTCACTGTGCAATTAGGTTAATGCGAGTTACATAATTGCAAACATGAAATTCTTGTCCCTCATTTTATAAATTCATTTTGTGAGAGAATTCTGTTCATGAATGCTACACTGCTACCTGCTTATCATTGTAGTAGTATTTTGTATGGGAATAAGCTTGAATTATATATTTTTCACATGATTCTGTTATTCATCCACTTAAAATGATTCTTTTAGTGTCTATCAACTACGTGCCTGCATTTGGTTACTTTTTCAGTTTCTTGTACTTGAGAAAGAAATTCCACCATATAAATTAGGTGAAAGGTTTAGTCATATATGCATGCTAATCTGAAGACCTCCCACAGCTGATACAATCCAAGATGATCAACATCCAGAACAACAGGTCAATAAGCCAGAGGAATGCCAGGAATTTAGACAGGTAGCATAATAAATCTTATGTTTGCCATATAAATCATCTTCTGAAAGTGGATAAAATTACAAACTAATCAATTTAGAAAGTGGGGATGAAGCAGGTTCAAGAGAGACAGGGGCCTATAAGAAGGAAAACAAGAAGAAAGCAAGCCTCTGCAATGGATTTTGAACAAACAATCATTCCTGGTCATTTATACCAATCTTGGCTTCAAAATTATTCAGACATAGTTTCGAGAAGAGGAAGAAAACGAAAGGTTTGTCCCTGCTCTCTAAGGTTGATCTTCAGTCTCCCATTCTATTTACAGGTGAAGTTTAACTACCAAGCTTAATGTGACAAGTAAGGGAAACTACATACGTGCATACTAACTAAAAGTTGAATGGACTGGGTTGGGTTTAGCTTGTCAGTTGTGATTAATGGAATGAGCATTGATCATAATTTGAAAGATGTATGAAAAACTTTTAGATAGAAGTAGACAAGAAAGTTCATCTACTTCAATATTCATGTAAGAACTTTAATTTGCATATGCTATG